GGTGAGGGTGCGAATCTCCACAGGGAGCTCGTTCCAGAGGGTCGGAGAAGCCACAGAGAAGGCTCTCCTCCAGGTAGTCGTCAGCCGACATTGGCCAGCGGATGGAATTCGGAGGAGGCCTAGTCTGTGGGATCTAATCGGTCTGGTGGAGGTAATTGGCAGCAGGTGGTCTCTCAAGTACCCAGGTCCAATACCATGAAGAAGCTGGGCAGGCAGGCTGTTAAGCAGATTCACTTGCAAGCAACTTTTGGGGAGCTTGTTCGCAAGGCACCATTTCAAGGGATTCTCGAAGTCTGCTTATTAATTTTTTATGAGCCTGTGACTCAATAAGACCAATGACCAGAAATTAGTACTTCGCTCTGGATTGTTACTGGCAATGATTAGCCTTCTGGTACAGCATTGCTCAGAAATACGAGCTGAGCAGCTTTTCTGGATTCAAAATCTTTAATGGCCTATTTTTATACTGATTAAGCATTTCTAAGAAAGCCTCTGCCCTTCTTTTGCCCATTGTCTCTAAGCAGTGCTGTATCTTTTTATGAGAAAAGGTCTTAAAGAAGTATGGATCGCAGTTTGGAAGTGTTCAGGTTTTCTAACTTAAATCTGTTTTTGGATTTCCGAAAAAGATGAGGTGAAAGAGATGATGGACAAAGTTGGCGCAGCCGAGGCCTCCTCCACTGAGGATCACCATAATCGGGATGGCCAAAGTGGAAGCAGTGGGACCACACCGGATTCTCCGTCAAAGCAGCTCCCTGATCAGATTTCCTTCTTCAGTGGGAATCCTTCGGTTGAAATAGCTCACGGCATCATGCACCTCTACAAGACAAAGTAAGAAAGCAGGACTCACCTTAAATGCTTTAAGGCCGGGCTCTCCAAACTTGGCAACTTTAAGACTTGGGGACTTCAATTCCTAAAATTCCCCACCTCTGGGAATTGAAGTTCACAAGTCTTTAAAGTTGTCAGGTTTCGAGACCCCTCTTCTTTAAAGGATCTGGAAAGCTGCCATCGCGATGAAATTCCTCTTCCTCTGAGAAGGAAGGGCTGCGGCCGAAGGAGAATTCTTGGAGGTGAAGCCACAAAACTGCGGTAGACTAAAGTGCGCTCGACAAAAGCGCGTACCTGACGTCATCACAGCGCGACGAAAACACGCTGTGAGCGGTAAACTTAAAATTAACGCGAAAACCTTACCCTAACCCCCCCAAACCTAACCCTAAACCTAACCCTTAACCTAACCCTAACCCTTAACCTAACCCTAAC